CCCTGTTCTACCCCCCTGCCATGGACAGGAACCTTCCACTACCCCACGTTGCTCCAAACCCTCTCCAGCCTGGCCTTGAGCACTTCTAGGGTCCTTTTGTCAGTTCAAGTCTCTCTTTACCCAAGGCTCATTTGAGGATTACTTGTTGACAGGAAATGCCAGTTAAAAGGCCCTTCAGAGCCAGCCAATATCCAGCTTTACATTCCTTCAGAGCAAAAATAGGGGAAAAAATGGACATACACGATGGTATTTTAGAAATATATGAGCATGAATATTTTTCTTAAAGCAACACAAACAACACACTTCAGAGCTATTGAACTGCCTGAGGTAACAGAACCTGGAAATAAGGCTGAGCTGCAATGATGGCTGTGGAGGATATTCCTAATGGGAAGAGCAGCACCAGGCTCTGGGGGCTGACTGGCCACACAGGACAGCATACTGCTCTGGTAGCAAAAATTTCAAACTGCAGCTCTGCAATAGCAACAGCAAAAATTTGAACTGCAGTTCTGAGAGAAATGCTGGGACTGAGAAAAGTGCATGGAGCTGCAACACTTCCAGATACCAACAGAGAGGACATTCTCTGAAGCCTCCTGCTTTTCACCATCTGCTTTTTCTGGAGGAAACTGCCAAGCAGAGAAAGCTCAAACAACACCTCAAGCCTTAAAGGGATTTTACAGTCTTTGCAGGGTCTTCCCAGAGAACGTGTCATATAATGTATTGCTGAAGCTTTTCTGCCAAGTTTAGCCTAGTGTTGGATCTGACTCCTTATCAGGCTGAAATGTTGCCTTTATAAAAAAAACACAAAATCCAATATATCTGTGGATAGAACAACACTGCTAATGCTTACATGGGCTGCTCAGCCAGCCAGCACTGTATTTAAGGGAGAATTTGGAACTGTGGCTACTGTGGATGAATTGAGCAAACCAGGTGAATCCACACCTCCCTCATGGAGATAAGGCCAGATTTTCCCCCCTGCCAAGTCATGTTTACAATCCCCAGGTCATCACACGAGACCAGTGAAGATGAAGGTTAAAGGCTGCAGCCAGCAAACACCAACCTTGCTGTGCAGATACATGGGGTTTGTGTACCCGATGTGCTGGAGATGGGCATCACACCTTCCTTCTCATGTATTTAAGAAGCCCTTCTTCCCCCACAAGGTGCCCCAGCACTGAGCCTTTATTTGAAATTAAATCTAGACCAAACTAAACATAAAAGGGGAAAACTGCCCTTACCAAAAAATAGCTGTTTTCAGCCTTTTCCCCCCTTTCCTTCTTTTCATAACCGAGGCGCAGCGACGGTGAAGATACAAGAGCAGAGAAGGGACATCCACAGCTAAAGCTTTGTCACGTGCTGACCTGTGGCACGCTGGCACCCCGTGGCAGGCAGCCAGTGGTGAGACATCATCAGCTATTCATCAGGGGAAGGCTCAAATAAAGCAGTGCTGCCCAGCAGGTATGCTGGTGAATGCATTCTGGGAGCATCCCGCCATTAAAAAGCCAGGAGATGCCTCGGCAAATTCCCCCGGGGCCCTTTGGGGAGGCTGACACGGAATTTGCCGGCCAGAATTTTAGTGATCCACTCCACGGCTCTGCTCCAGAAGCCCAAGATGAATAGGGAGCTCTGGTGAACTTTGAAGCCTGAGGGTCAAAGTTCTCTCTCATTATCCCCAACCATTTTCTATTGGCAGAGCTCCTCGGCGTCCCAAGGGACGGGAAGGTTTGAGGCTCTTGAAAAAACCTGACACGACCAAGTCAGGAAACAGTAGGGTGCTTATGTACACATATTTTTCTTCCCCCACTTTCTTCTCCCCCCACTTTCTTGAAAAGAAATGAGAGGGATTTCGCTATTGTGTCAAACATCAACCTGGTGGCACCAGGAGTCACTCGCGTGGCTGGCACAATGCCGCGCTCATTTCTGCACGCTGCCCTGCCAAACACGCCTGACCCTCCCGGGGACACCTCCTCTGAAAGAAAGGACCTAATTTGATTTTTCCCTCCCCTCCCCAAAACCTTTCATTCTGCAGGCAATGCTTTCAAGGAGGATGTCAGGGCTGGATTCTGCAGTACCTATTTTCTATGTTTAAACCACTGCTTCGTGCCTGAGCCGCCACCGAATGCATCTGGCAGAGACAACTGATCCACCTGTGGCCAAACCCCGAGCAATATTTAACACAGTGCTCACTATCAGCCACTAAACATTGTAATTGGCCCTTCAAACACCAGGTGTTAGGCTCTGACTCAAACCACAGGCTGGACAAACCAAATGATCTCCTAAATTTCCTTTTTCTGCCACCACTAGAGGCCAGCCCACCTTTCACTGCAATTAAAAATTCACTCCAGAATAAAAAGGGCAACATTTTGATTAACTAAAGTGATCTGCACATTTGAAACAACCCAAATCTGATTAGAGCTAGGCTTTGCACAAGTTTAGGAAACTGACTTTAGATGGCTAACAAAAGCTCTTTTCTTCACTGCTACTTAATGGGAAACTTGGTAGGAATAAGGCCCTGATTTTTCAAAATAATGTAAGAAATTATCCCAGACAGAAATGCAAGCACAGCATTAAAAATTCATCACTTTCTTGTGAAAAAAAGGAACAAATTAATGACAAACAAAACCCAGCAAAACCAAACCAGAAACACAGTATCAGAGCTCTGTCTGGGGGAACACCCTCTCACCGGGCAATCCTCAAGAAGAAATTGTGACATTCCTGACAACGAAGTTTAGTACGAAGTGTACTGGGAGTGTGACTGACTGAAAATATCTGTGGTTCCCTCACAAACCAGTCTGATCCACGCAAGGAGGAAACAGCAACACTGAACCCAGCACCTTCTTCTTGGGGTGGGGAGGCACGGTGGAGGACAGAGGGAAACAATTACAGGCTGGTAATTACTTCTTCTTTAAATGGATTCTCTCTAATCTCCGACGGATTTACCTCTAATCTCAAAGTAATTACGTGTAACCTCAGTGGATTCTTACTCTGGGGGCGACGCCACAGCTCCGGGGGAGCCTGCAGAGGAGAAGTTTCTCCATTGTCTGCCAGAGCAATGGAAAACTCACACGTGCACAGCCCTGCCAGGAACAAAAGAGCCTTTTCCAGCAGCCAGGAAGGGGCCAGGGCACACACAACAGCCTCCTCCTCGCTTGATGACCAGCACAAGCTAAGGCACGCTCAGGTGGGGCACGCAGAATCCGTGCTTCCCTTCCGGGAGCAATGCCAACACACAAATTTGGGTGTTTCAGGGCTACTTCACAGCAGAATTAGTCACATTTAGAGGCACTAAAAGTGACCAAATTGGGCAGAAAGACGTGAACGCCATTACACAAAGGAGCAGTGAAAACCCTGCTCCGGAACACCGGGGCTGAGGGACAAGGTTTCTGATGGGAAGCAGCAATGCCTCGAAGCGACCTGTCATCTAATTTACCACATATATGTTTAAGAGACATGGACATCACATCAGAAACCAGAGCAAAGCATCATTATGGCAGGACCTGAGACCATAAAATCTTGTGTCAAGGCAGGGAAAAAGTGCTAATATTCCACAGACAGGGAACAGCAAGTAGGGGCAAGCACAGCATCAGTGGCCAGACATGGATGTGGCACTTGGGGATGCGCTTTAGTGCTGGGCTCTAGCTGGCCTGGATAATCTTAAGAGTGCTTTCCAAACTTAATCATTCTAGGGTTCCATGCTCCTCAGACACCACCCATGTAAAGCAGAAGTTTCCTGCCAGTTCCAGGTCTGCAAATGCCAGAATTTATAGAAAATGCATCAAAACCTTGATTTTCACTCCTTAATGCAAAAGTGCCCAGGAGCTCAAGATGCCACCAATAGGTTTAGAAACAACTGGTCCTAAAAACATTACCAGTGGCAACCCTCTGATTTGCATATGTGGGATAATGATAAAATACAAGATCAGATATTATATAAAACCACACATACATGTATATATTTCTATATTTATATATTTGTATTTATTTTTATATATTTATATGTGTAGGTAGATATTTCTATACATCTATATATCTAATATCCGTATATCTCACTTATCTATCATCTATCTATCTATCTATCTACCTATCTATCTATCTATCTTTATATATATGTATAATATATATTTTACCTTGGTGAGGGTCACACCATGATTTCTGGGGTAGGTTAGTCCTGAGTGGGATCTCTGTGCTCCTTCCACCCCCAAATCCATACTAGGAGTTGCGCCACACACTCTGAGGGACAGGCAGCATCCTTGGGACAGGAACAGATGCCTCAACATGGAAAAGTTGTATGGAACAATTTTTAATAGCTATTCTATGTCCAAAAAGCTGCTCAGAATTCTCCTGGATAAACCACAGCCCTGCACACTGACAAAGACCTGTCGCCCTGATTTTGTAAGACTTTGTTAAGCCTTCTGATGTTTACATTCTTTCAACAAACTTTCTCACACACAGTTCTGTAAATAACCTATGTTTTGCATTCTTTCATGGAGGTGGAGAGAATTGATGGACCCTTGGTCTGTCCAGTGGCATTGGAGAGGTGGCACTGTCACCCTCCAATCCACTGTCACCTTTGGAAAACTATAAATGTTGGAGTCAGAAAATAAAGGTGCTTCTTTTTGTTCCCCTCGAGAGCAGCAGTGTCTGTGTCATCATTTCGTGCCTTATCACAACAGACAAAGACCTCTCCACATTCTTTACTACCCCTAGGAAACTTTTTCTTGTAAAGCACTTGTTTTTTAACCCTGGGATCAACAACAAGCTCATAAAGAATGAACAGAAAATAAAGGCTTATACAGCTCCAGCAGCCTCTTGGGATGCAAGGAAGCCCCAGTCCCAGTGGAGTCAGAGGAACTGGAGCGCACTCCGACTTGCAGCAGGGAGTTTCACTCCAGGTGATGATTCCTTAAGAGGGAGGCGAATGAGGAGAGAGGAAGCACAGTGGTCCCAGCAAAGGCATGGCTGAGCCTGCTGTCAGGGCTGGGGCTCCCAGGGCAGGGGGTACTCACGTGCAGGCTGGGGTGGTAGGTCAGCACGCCGTTGTCACACAGTGTCACGTACTTCTTCTTCCACTCCTTGTTCAGGGACTTGCCACTCCGCTTCAGCAGCATCCCCTGGAAAGGGAGAGAGAGAGAAAAGGTGAAATGACCACACAAACAAACACACATGACACACAACTTCCCAAGACACAGAGAGAAGAGTAATTGCCTTTCCAGATGAGCATTTTATGACAGGCTTTCTCCTGGAAGTGACACTGTTTCCCCTGCCTCTCCCACAATGCACATTCCCTCCACTGGCTTTGTCCAGTGGGTAGAAAAACCCTCTTTTTCCTTGAATTCCATGCCTCAGGAAAGTACATTTTAGTGTGACCCACATGGATTCCTAGCTGATGAAGACACCATGCTCTGCATTTCCTTACCCTATAAAATAAATGGTGAGCCCAGGTTGAGGGAGGATCCTGCTGTGTGGCCTCTCCCTCCAGCATCTCCTGGGGATTCCTTGCCCACAGAAGAGCACACATCTGTGTTCTCATTCCCTCTGCACAAAGGTGACACCACCACGGAAACCCCTCATTCCAGCAAAAGAAACTCCAATCCCAGGCAAGAGTAACAAAACAAAACCAGAGCAAATACAAAGTGTTTCAAGTAAATCCTGGATAATTTAATGACAGAGGTGTGACTGGAGAAGAAAGGAGGGAAAAGTGAACCACCTTTCCACCATATTCAGTCAGGGATGAATGACAACCATCACAGAATCCCAGAAGGGTTCAGGCTGGAAGGGACATTAAAATCCAGTTCCAACCCCCAGCCAGGGGCAGGGACACCCTCCACTGGACCAGGTGGCTCCAAGCCCTGTCCAACCTGTCCTGGAACATTTCCAGGGATGGAGCAGCCATAACTTCTCATGAACAGCAAAGATTAAAAGTCATCATTGTGTTCCAACAGACAGGAGCTGCTACTGTACATTGACCTGTTCTCAGCTGTAAAACCAAAATTCACTTTGCAAAATAAAATACCATGTGCTGCAGAACACTCCAGGTAGTAAATGAAGAATGCACTTCCTTAGGAAATTTTAATTTCCAAACCCAAGCCAGAAGGCAGTTCCTAATGGATCCAGGCAGTATTATGGTTGTGCAAAGCCTTACTGGAATGCCCAGTGGAGATCCCATGCTCAGTACCCAGCACAGGGACACACTGGTGTCACAGATCAAGCTCTGATCAAAGTGGACCCATTGCAATAAATCCCAACCAGGAATCCACCCATCACAAACTTCAGCTCCCTAATCCCTATAAAACAAGTTTTCCCCTTGTCATTGTACAAGCCAATTAAAATAAAGGGAAAACAGAACACAGAAAGATGCCCTACCAAGCACGGCACTTCCAACTCCCATGGAGTTCTTGTTAAAAGTAGTTTAAGCCTTGAAAATGAGTTCCACTGTTTGTTTTCCCATTAAACTTGCAGCTTTATGAAGTGATCCCTCTGCAGACCCTATCCCAAAGCCAGGACGGGACACAGGTCAGCTCCACCCAAGTAGCAGCCCTGCTCCTGGCCACACAGCTGGAGCAGAACTTCAGAGAAGAGCCCTTCCCAACACACTCCATGGTGGGACCACAAAGGAAAGCTCCTGCTGGACACTGAACAGCACAGTGATCCAAACTCCCAACTTTCTGCCTCTCTGTGGGTCACATGTCTGTATTTTTTTTGTTCTGCTCCTTGCTAGAACTCAAACTTTTTCAAGGAGAACGGGGCTTCTGAAACGCCTCCTCACAAAAGCTCCTGCTCATCCCAATTACTGCCTGCCGGCGCTTGGAGACGTTGTTTTCTTCTATTAAAAAATGAAAGCTTATTTCTGCCTTTGACTCTCCTGTTTGTCTATAGGAGGTGATCTGTCTCTTCACCTTTCCCATCTTTCATACCTCACCTGCAGCACAGCACTGGTGTTTAGGGGGACCCAATTCTAGTTAGTGCTGTGCCATGGGGATCAAAAATTACTGTTTCTCTGCACTGGTTTGTTCTTCAGACCTTCTAATGGGGAAAAAGCAGTAAGGATCACAATGGGGATTTTCTTTTTTCCCTTTGCCTTCTTTTTTTCAAGTTTTGAAGCCAGTGAAATGTACATATTTCATAACCTTTTAACTGCCCCTTTGCTATACAGAAAACATGTCATTACCTACATAATTTTCAATTCGTGTCAATTATAATCTCAAAAAAGAGTAAAAATCTACCACGGTCGTGATTTTTACTACTTAAAGTTTTGCTACTATCTAAGTACGAATTATGACATTCTAGTTTTGGATCTAAATGAAGAATATTATTCAAAAAGAGGTTTTACCATGTTTTTAAAGCAGAACTCTGTGCTTTGATGTAAAAAAAAAAAACCCAAACAAAAACCAACCCGCCCAGCTCAGAACTGAATAGGGATGATGGACCTATTTGTGCCTAGCTACACAAACCAGACTTCCCAATCCATTTTCTTCAGGCATTCCTTTGGCAAACAGAATCATTTTCACGTTATGTGATAATTAAAAGTATCCTGAAGTACCTGGAGAGCAAACTGCTGTGAATACAAGGAGCTAACTTAAAGTGCTATAAAGCAAAGCAGCCCATATAAACCACAGTCTTTATCCCCAAGGCCACCACTTTGTGGTAATTTTATAGAATGGTCTGGAGAAACAGTCTTAGAATCAGAGTTTAGATCAGTTATAAATGCACTTTAACGTTAGCTACACTTTAAAAAAAATGGCCCACATGACAGGAAATGTTTCTTAAAAGAAAAAAAAAGAAAAAGAAAAAAAAAAAAAAAAAAAAAAAACCAAAAAAAACTCCTTGCTTCAGTCACATCATGGCTACATTTAAGTCACATCAGGTCCTGTGCTGAGGAAATGAAATCCAGGGGTTCCTGCTGACCCCTGGTACCTCCAAGGCAGCTTGGGCACGTCCCCAGTCACTGCCAAACAGGTCCCCACACAGACACAGCACACTGGAAAAATCCCATTGAGTTCCCAAGCTATGCAGTAAGAGCCTAAGTAAATCTTCTACTCCAAATACCAATTATTTTGGTCTAAATAATCCCTGCCTCAAATAATTATTAATTGGATTATGCTATTTTCCATAACTTGTATGAAATCTTTAATTTCTCACAGCCCTCCATGGGCAGTTGGGTGCACCTCCAGAGCCTCCAGACTCAACACTAAGAATTTAACACCTCTGATCTCCACACAAACCGAGAAGAACTTCACACCTCAAATTGCCTTTTTTAATTTTTCTTTTTTTTACCACCTTCCCTCCAAAACTGCAACTCTGTTTCAGGGAGGAATGGTGAGTCCTTCAGCTTGTGGTTTTAAGGTGCTGGAGGAAAAAGGCTCCAAGTGGAGTGCATGGAGCTCACTCGCTGGGTTTGCTGGAGGATCCAGGGAGCGAACAGAGCCAGCTCTCCATTAGTAATGTGTGTGCTACGTCTACTCCCAGGAGGTCATTGCAAGCCAAAAGCAATGTTAAGTGTACAAGCTTTAAATAACTTACAAAGTTAATGTAATGAATGCAAGTGTGATCTGAAATCCATCACTCAGTGGCTTGCTGTAGCCTCAAGCTGTGATAAAACACCACTCATAAATTTATATTAAAACTCTGTTCGATAGCAATTATTTACCAACTAAGATTTATTGATTGCATTTGCTGTTAGGGACTGGGGCCCTAACTGAGTCAATCAGCTTAGGCTGCTGAGCTCCAGGGCACCTGGGGAAGTTACAGACTGCCAGCAGGCTCTGCAATCCCAACATTACCGTGGAGCAGGAGCAGCTAATGGAAAGCCGCCAGCCCCGGATTGATTGGAGCCCAGGTGGAAAGAAAACAACACACCCAGCACTGGTGAAGGGACCAGGGCACGTGGAACACCCAGTTCACCTGAATACGCAGCAACCAGCAAATCTGGCTCTTTTGGGTGCCCTCTGTGAGCTCCAAACCTTGCCTGCTTAAATAATGACTCAGGGGTGAAACAATCATCAATTTGTTCTACAGAAATATTTTAGGTTTTAAATAGCAAATTATCAGCATTTCAAAAAGTGACCTTTTGAAGTTGCTTAATGCTGCATTGAAGATGCTGGCAGGTGAGAAGCCTTAAAAATGGTCTTTGAAGTCAGCAAAGCCAAGATTGGACCTTCTGGAAAAGGAAACAGGGTACCTACAAGGCAGGGCTTGGAACTAGATGAGCTTCAGGATCCCATCCAACCAAAGCCATTCCATTATTCCACTTAGGTTTCTAATTTTCTTTCAGAAATTTACCCCACTGCCATGGCTGAGGTGCAAACTTCTGCCAGCCTTCTGTTTCATCCCCTCCCTAATTTTTAGCTGACCCCATATTGCTTCCCTGATGCTGCTCTGACAGAATGAAAACAGGTAATCTCACACTTCATCATTAACAACATAAATTCCTTATTTTCCATTCAGGTCTGCAGTTCTCATAGCCATGATTAGCAGCTAGCACTGGTAGGAATTTTCTACAGCTCCTGTGCATCCTGCTCAAAAAAGACAAACTCTCAGCCATGAAAAACCTCCTCCTTCAAATGACTCTGAAGGCAGCCACTCGGTCAGGATCACAAACTAATTGTTACATACAAATTCTGGCCTATAAAACACCCACTTCCTGTGAATCTATTAATGTGGAGAACAAATGCTGGTGAAACCCCCAGGATTCAATGACGAGCCAGCTCTGCATAGTCTGTCCAACAGCACTGGGGCCACCTGATAATAAACATGGGATTAATTTTTCATTATTTTGCCTCCAGAAGATTTAGATGTAACAGGTTTCTGGTGTTAAAGTCCATTCTTCAGCAGGTCAAACTGTCTCACCTTCAAACAATAACTGCATGCCAAAAGAGTATTTTGGCAATGACTGAATCATAGATCCATAGAGAGTCAGAGAATCCCAGAATAGTTTGGGTTGGAAGGGACCTTAAAGTTCATCTTGCTCCATCCCCTATCATGGGCAGGGACACCTTCCACTAGACCAGGTTGTTCTTTCTTTAAACCTAAAATCCTCTAGTGAATAAACTGTTGAAGATTCCCAGTGTATTTGGAACCCTTCCATGAAAATATAACTTGTTTTCTCAGTTTC